ATATTTCGTGTATACTGAGACGGGTTGGAGATGAAGATACAAGTCTCCATTAGGTTTCGCGGAGAAGACTAGAAATCGCGTAAGACGTTATCGCGCATATATGCGTGTGTCGCAGCTCGTGATCGAGAGAAAGAGGCAGAGAGTGGGGCCAACGATTTCTGAGAGCACGTTCGACGAGGCAACGCGACAGCAGTCTGCTTTGTAACGCGTCGAACGGTGATGATATGCCGCCATTACGCGCGCTTCGATTCCATCGGCAGTTCGTTTATCAGTGAGTGCTCGACGAGCGGCAATCGCACGACCGAGATACATTCTTCTCGATAAAGACGCACGTTTCTGAAATACGTAAACGATATATCCACAGATCGCGTTGCATCTACTCCGTTTTATTGTACGCAGCGCGATCCGTGGCGGTGACGTGGACCGAGCGCGATACGGTATCGGCCCAGGAACCCGCGGCGTTTCCGGTCAAATTAAACCCGGGAATACCGTGCGCGAAAAGGGAGCATCGGGAATACCAGTTATCCATTTGTCCGCTCTTTTCCTCGTTTTTGCTTCTCCTCGCGAGAACCGAGCGCTCTCCGCGAGCGATTCCACCTCCAAGGCGCGTCGTCGTCCTTCGGGCCGCCGCGTGGCGTCATCGCTGAAGCCAGTATCTGTCCAACAGTGTCGTAGGATCAACCAAGATAACAGACAGCGGCTTTCGTTCGCGTTGTACTTTGTTCTCGCGAGAGACAGCGAGCGGTGTCAACGACGTGTTGAAAAGCTCCGTTGGCACCAGGACCGAATGAAGCCAGCCCGTCCGCGAAGCGCTCTCCACGGTGACGGCAGCATGTCGTCATAGATTTGACGCGGTGGGCCTGGTGTTGACAAAGTGACCGCCGCCAGCGCGAACGATGATTTGTGCGAGGTAATCCCGAGTGTATGAGTCAGCCGAGCCTTAATTTAGCGGATAATGCGGATTGTCGCCGACCGGTTGCCGCCGATTTCGGATGCGGATCACGAGCGTTTTCCCTTTCGTGCTCGCCGCCCGTCCTTCGTTTTACCTGCGAGTTCTCGACTCGAATGAAATGCACGCTCAAACGATGCGTTTTCACGAGGAGCTCCGCTTCCTACGGTTGACGTTGTCATTTTATCGAGATAAGACACGACGACGCTATTATCTACCGTGCGACTGAGGATGTAAATGGTTTTACCTGAACAGGAGTTTTGCGTCATGACTAATTACAAATTTGCCACTGATATAGATAAGCGGAGCCGCGATTGATCGGCCGGATTCGACGCAATACAAATTATACTCCGCAGTAAAGTATCTTCAACGGCGAAGATGTGGTATCTGCGGTAAACTTGGTACTACAAATGCTTCAAAGCGTTCCCTTACAGAATACGTACCGGAAACGAAAAAAGCACGAATAATTACTGGAGTTCAGTAATTAAATCGTTAGAAATTACTGATGCACAGTAATTATTTCGTTTACATTTCTGTAAGGCTTGGTCTTCTTTCTTCAGTAGAAGAAAGGAGACGAAGAAGATGCTTCAAAGCGCTCGTAGCATCAGGTGGACCGCGGCCATTGTGCGCGACGTTTAGTCCGTGCCAGTGTAATCGACGTCCATAATTTGTTTACGAAGGAGTCAATTCGTTGTAGATGTTTTGCAAGCCTCTTACGAAAGATAGTCGTCGTTTTCCCTTTGCCGTTACTTCATCGCGTATATTCCATTCGAAACGCGATCGCGTCCCTGTCTGAAATACTAGATAGAATATGATCAGACTACATTAGATTACGGTGCAAATAATTTCAATGTAAATCAATAAGAGCTTTATTAATCTACATTGAAATCGCACGTAATCTAATCCCAGCGAGAAAATGACTCGTCGATTGATGTCGAATCGACGTCGAATTTGGCAGTGTCGATGTCGAGTAAACATTGTTTCGACCAATTGTTTCCCACTGGGATGTAACCTGACCGTATTCTATCTATTATTTTAGACAGTGGTTGCGAGCGACGCGAATCCCCGTAATCTCCGTAGAAATGGAGTTCGAACGCTATTATTAATATAGAACAATTGTACCGCGACATTTTTGCACCGGTCGCGATGGTCTTTTTTAAAATAACGATGCATGGTAAAAAAAATGGATGCAGGAGCAGCACGGTCCAAAGGGGATGTGAAAGGTCAAGATGACGTCAATTTTATGTCATATTGACCAAATTTATATTATAATTTAACTTGACGTCATCTTGACTTCTTATTTCTCCTTGGGATGGCGTGTATTAACGGTGTCCAGTGTGCTCGCGATCGTAAGAATTCCCCGATGACACCATGATTCACTGAAATAGTGATTCTTACATATTATCCACTGAATCAGCAACGCCGGACGTCCTTAATATATGCATGTAATTGGTATCAATTCGCGATTTTTATTAATTAATTAATAAATATCCGCGACACGTGCACGGAGAGAATTTTCTCTGAAAATTTATCCTGAAAATCATCCGATCGTGGGACAACATTTGAGTTGTTGAGGACAACTTATGAGTTTTTTGAAATTTTACTTAGTATACATTTTACTAGTAATTTATAAGAATTTATTATAAAATCTAAATAAGAAGAATTAATCATAATAAGAATTTTACGAGAGTTTTTTTGAGAGTTTACCACACATTTTACTGATAAAACTCTCACAAAATTCTTCGAAATGCCGCGTTGTCTCACGATTACACGATTTTCAGGATAAATTTTAAAAGAAAATCCTCTCCGTCTGTAAGATGGGATTTCTAATATGCCGCATGCAGCACGAATAACATTGGAACCTTGTTAGCGGGGAAGTTTGAATAAATCTGAGTACTTGTCGAATTTTACCTTTAATCGATTAATCTAAGCTTCTTATTATTGTTGCGCTTCTATCGCAAAAATTGCTCCCCGATCTGAGACAGTTTAATCTAATTCTATTCTGATTTCCCATACAGACAAAGGTGTCGTTTTGTCAATATAATTTTCTTGATCGAAGCTGCGCGAAATGGACCAACGGGCACATCCGGCAGCGTCGGTCAGAAACGAGTTTACATTCCTTGATGATTTTATTCAACCACATTAACGGCCGATCACCATTGGCCTCACCAACATTAATCAATCTTAACTTGTTCTCAGTACTTTTCGTTTCAAATCTTACGTTTCTCACTCAAAAACGCGATTCTTTCAAGATCTAAATAAATTTCTAGACCTTTGGAGAAATTTAAGATAAAAACTGTAGCTTTTCGCAGACTGAAAAAGAATCGCGTTTCCAAATCTGCTTTTTCCCTCGTAATCTGAAAAGAGCAGAAGCAAGGAAAGGAAGCTAGGCAGCGACCTGACGGATTTATCCAAAGACCCTCCAGCTGTCTCTCGACGAGCCGCACTCTGCTGCATGCGGCGCGCCGCGTTTAAAAAGTGTATCCGACGTGAAGAAAAGAATTTTTCGCGTAGCGCATGGGCATGGTGACACTGGTGCAGCAGCCGCAGCAAACGCCCGACGGTAATCACCAGCGTCAGAAGGAGCTGGACCACGTGAACGGCGCTGTCGTGTCCGCCGAGAGCCACGCGGTCGACAGGTTTCGCGGCGAGGCTGCGCGCTATGCGGCGGAAACCGCGGTCGTCGCCCCGGGCATTGGTAGCGCTGGAGGTTCCTCTACGCAGTGCAGTGACGTAGACGACGACGAGGACGATGAGGAAGAGGAGACGGACGTCGAGGAGGGCGTCGGCGACGGCTGGATCGCGAATCTGCCGGTGCCGTCGACCATCGTCCAGCAGCACCAGGAGGTCGCCACCGCGAACGGCGACGTCGTCCTGCCGAACGTCGATCCGTCCAACTTCGGCGACGTCTGCGTCAAGAACTCGACGAACGTGCACCTGGGTAACAAGACCTTCTACAAGGGCCCGGTCACCATCAAGCAGTTCGTTTACACGAATCCCACGCCGATCCTTGATATTCTCGACCCCGGCCGCGCCTCCGACGTCAGCACCTCGGATTTGCCGACGAGCAAGGACGTCGAGGCCCCAAACAGGCCCATCTTTCCGCCAAATACTAAATTAAGTAAAGGTAACGGTCAGTCTCTGTTCAGCGCAATAAATTGTTTCGGCTCCGTTTACTTTGTGATGAAGCTAAAGATGACAGAAATATCAATCGGTACTCGACGCCGATTATTTATCGATGCATTGGCATTTAAACTAATCCTCTCTTGTGTTGTACAGTCGTGAGCAGAAAGATTGTCCGACCTTTTATGATAAATTTCGGAAATACAGTCTATCCAGAGTCCCTCTAATCAGAGTCTGGTCAACAGGCCAGTTTCGACAAAATGGTGGGAGAGAGAAAAATATATTCCCTTTCACTTTACATACAGCAAATGCGTCACGTAGAGTGAGAGGGAATATACTTCTTTCTCTCTCGCATCAATTTGCCGAAACTTCAAGCTGAATCCTGACTGATTCTCGTAAGCAGTCCAGTAGGAAAAGTATAGTCGTTAACTTTAGTCTATCATGCGAGAGATTATAGCTTTTGCTCACGGGTATGCGCAGCATTATTAGAGCAAATGAATGATATCTATGCGACGATACATACGAATATTCCGCAAACTTATTGCAAAACGTCGGGCAGTCTTTCTAACCATGACCGTACACAGTGCCTGATACTTCTATTTGAGACAATCGGAAAGCAGCAAATATATGAAACCGTGTAAATACCAATACGTACGTTTTAATTGCCGATTAGATGCGATAAGAATCGCCGATGCGTGATACTTCGAAGTATCTTTGATCATTTCTTCCCTAGCATGAAGCGTTTTATTAGCGTTATCAGAGTCATCGAAGCTGCAACAATTTTTCAAAGGCATTTCACTGTATGCATCACGAAGATCAACTTCCTTGACTAATAGTCTTGTCATATCTGTTCAGAATATAATAAGTTTTAACATAGATTCTAAATTGAAAATTGCTACTTTTAGTCGCGCCACAAGAATTAGAGTTAAATATAAAAGAGCTATTTTCACCTGACGGTACATACGCGTTGTGCTAATTCTGGCATAGATTGGCGGGATATGCCGGGATATATTGTTTACTCGATAGTGAATAGAATAGCAGAAGATCAAAACGCTTTACGCGAGGCGCTTAATTGCAATATTTCTCTCGTACAAACGCGCTTCTCGACGTATATGACGCGCCTGAATTTCATGGAACGATGTTATGAAGTAGACCGTACGTCAATCGTTCTAACGTAGCTTTTTCTAATTATTTCAGTGACGCAATGGTGCTCGAAGAGGAAATGCCCCGTTTTGTCGTGCGTTACAGCTGTAATAGTTGTAGTTATTGTGCTGAGCCTAGTTGTATCTTTCACTCGCCCGGACACACTCCCGGAAATTCCAGACTCGTCGATCGAGGGTAATTGTCCATCTGGAAGATCTTTATCGTTTTGCAAGCGCGACACGACGCGAACGTTATCTTATCGCGATTGCAAAATTAAAATCTGTATCTTGCACGGTACACTGTAAAAGAGTTTTATGTAAAAGTACATGGATTTATGCGTTATTAATATCTAATGTAATTGTTGCACTCATTACTTATGCAACTTTACATACTGTTCTGCAGTGTACATTTGTATTTATTGCATATATTTATTCTATCTAGAAGCATGTCTCTTTGCTTTCCACAAGTCGCGTGCTGTATATTTTAAAACATGATTAGCACCAGATTAACACACTGTCACATTTGGCGTTAAATTAAACAGCTTTCATAATAGAGTCATTGTTCTTTGGTTTTTTTAGCTTTTTGTTGATAAGTTTCTTTCAACGAATGCGAGCCAAGTTATTCGGTCTTCTTTTAAATTTTGTAAGCGAGAGTTGTACGGTCCAGTGGCCATGACTTTCATCCTTTGATTAATCTGCCTACACAGAAAAAAAGAATGTTTTTCTTTTGAAAATATGTTTAGTTTCAACGTGAAAATCTTGAAATGAGATTATATTGGGTTAACGGAAGAAAAACTTACTTGAATGAGGCAATTTTATATAATTCAATACAGAAAAATACATGTTTATTATTTAAGAATAATTTTCTTGAATGGAAAGGAAACGATACTGGATAGAAAATGTCTTATTTTGAAATCGGAGATTATAATAATTGAAATGATTTTATTATCAAAATAATTATATGTATTCTTGAAGTGACAATTGTAGTATTTAAATAAGACTGTAATATTAGGCTCGTTTTCTTGTTGCTACACTGGTGAATTAGTGCAAAAAAATTAGAGTAAGACAAGTATATTTTTCTCATTCTAGCTTATTGCACTAGTTCACGCAATAGACAACAAGCCTATAGTTGGAAAGTAAGAATATTGCATGCTTCTAAGAAGATTATAGATTGTTGCGTATGTACAAAACAATGAACGCGTCAATTTTAGTCTTAGATCTGACACTTATCTTTTTCTGCGTGCGTGGTGTAGCTTGAATTTTCTGCATTTTATCCTCACGATTTTCAGGCGTAACGGTAACATCGGTACGCTTTGTCGAGAGGAACGAATGGGGCGCGCAGCCACCCTCGGAGCCGCTGACGAAAATGAAGCTGCCAGTACCATACGTAATCATTAGCCACACCGCGACGGAGTTCTGCACGACGCAGTCGCAGTGCACGTTCCACGTGAGATTTGCTCAGACCTTCCACATCGAGTCCAGGAAGTGGTCGGACATCGCCTACAACTTCCTCGTCGGGGGCGACGGCCTCGCGTACGTCGGCAGAAGCTGGGACTTCGTCGGCGCCCATTCCTTCGGCTTCAACAACAGGAGTATCGGCATCTCCTTCATCGGCACATTCAACACGGTCGTGCCGCCTAAGGTGCAACTGCACGCCGCGCAAAAGATCATCGAGCTCGGCGTCAAGGCCGGGAAGATCGCGTCCGACTACATACTGCTGGGCCACCGACAAATTTCCAAGACTCTGAGCCCCGGAGACGCCTTGTACAATGAAATTAAACGGTGGCCCCATTGGGCACCGCAGCCCTGATCCCAATAGCTTTAACATTTGTCAATGAGATACAATTTCTGTGAAAATATTCTCATCTTTTTTTTTATCAAATCTGTATGCACCAACTAACAGTTACATAACATCGATATTATAATTTTCTATTCAACAATGTAACTGTTATACATATATAACATGTGTTCACATTTGTATTGAATGAGAAATTATAATATTAACAATGTAACTGTCGGTGTTCACTGGGCAGTTGCCAGCTCTCAGATAAATAATTCCAACAAGCTTGGACAACATTTAGCTGAAAATACCGCGAGCCCTTTATTACTGTTTCGAATGTAAAATCCTTTTACGTTCGAATACAATGAGGCGACAAAAGAAGCGGTTCCTGCAGATTTCGTAGCATCGATAAATCTTATTAGAAGCTAACTATAGTAAATGAAGGGAGTAAGCGTCATACGTTAAAAGACATCGAACGTTGAAGGTACGCTGGTTGAACCTCGTGGTGAAATTAATATTAGCGTTTGTACCAATTTGAAACAAGTTAATTTTAAAAATCGCCGTGGAAATATGTATCGAGTGCCAGACAAAAGGTACCACAGTAAGAAGAGTCAAAGCGGTCCGCTTTGGTCAACCGCACGCGTTCACCGCAGTTTATAAAAAGAAATGAAGGTACCAACGTGACAATTGCTATATTTTATAGCGTGCCAAATTTACCGCAATCATGTTAACACGGGAAATGGAGAGCATCTTGTATATACTATTAGAAAATGTAACATTTCCTGTACGTTTAACGAGCCTATGATCTTTTTTTTAAATAAAGAAAACGTGTCCAGATCCCGCTCATCTTTTCCGCCATTCGTCAAACGTCGTAACGTTTACTCATCCTACGCTCGATTGTCAAATGTACATAGCGTTCGACAAGACGCATTTGAATATTAAATCCATTAACATCTCCGATAACGAGTGTGTCGAACACTCGCATTATGATACATCGCGTTAATTGTAATATTAACATACATGACGTGATTGAGATACAGCTGATCGTCTATGCAAATCTTATTCAAACATTCATCGCCGGATAGACAATTTTATGCCGCTAGCGGCGGACATAATGAAACTGTGTAGTGCATAATCGTGTTCGGTGAAAACGCGTATCGATTATTGGGCGAATTACCAAGTACCTCGTAATGTTACACCCATAGACATTGTGGCTGCAGACGTTTGCACACCTGAGGGTGGAGTCCCATGGAGCGGAATACGCGGAAGCGGAATCAGCGGATCGCCAATCACAAGACCGTTTCGACGGAATTTTTGAAAGGGCTCTATCAGAATAATCTTGCGATTGGCGATTCGCTGATTACGCTTCCGCGTATTCCGCTCCATGGGACGCCACCCTGAGAAAGAGACAACATGTGCCTTACGTCGTAGCTCTTTCTCTGTCTATCTATCGTTCCTCTACTCTTTTGTTTAGCCCCACTACTTCATTTCGACAAAGATAAAGATACGGTCCCACACCAGCTATCTCTTTCTAAAGTTGGCGCATGTTTTCACGCGAGTAAAGTAGGTCTATGGTTACACCATCTTAACAACGCTTCGTGGAATTCTGCTCTAATTAAACGCGACTAAACGCCGCGCGACGTTCACAAGGGGCTAAAAACGCTATTGTTTGACAAAACGCATGTATGTATGTAAACTAGGAATCACCGATGCCTTCCCGTATGAATTTCATCTTAAATATAAGAACGGACTATGAATACCGGCCTAAAGCCCGTGTCACAATACGCATTGCAGATCGCGAATCGGATTGAGATTGAGGGTCGCGGATCGCATTTCAGCCAATCAGACGAGACAGCCTCGTATCCGATTGGTTGAATTGCGCTCCGCGATCCGCAATTTCAATCCGATCCGTGATCCACAATACGTAGTGTGACACGGGCTTAAGTCCCAGTCTACAATAGATGATTTAAGCCCTAAGCTTTAAGAAATTGGCCAATCACGGTCAAGTATGAGTAGAATGCGCGACTGTGATTAGTCAATTTCTTAAGGCTTAGGGTTTAAATCTCTATTGTAGATGGGCACTAATAGAGTCTGCTTTGTGTCTCTCTTGCTCGCTATTTCATTTTAGTTTCACTCTCCGCGGATTTTCGCCGCGTAAATCGAGAGACGAGCGTGAATACGAATAATACGCTACTACATTTTCACGCTGAAGAAGAAAGATTCGTAATCGCGCGCCGGAAGCCATTAAGCGCGGGAGAATTAAAATGGCTCGGCCAATCGTGGCGCGACAGAGACGCGGGGTCTCTCGATCCCGATTGGTCGCGTCTCCCGTAACCGCCGCACTCATTTGCGCGCGCCGGACACGACGGCCAATTGGCTCGCGTCACGTGCCGCCGTTTCCGGCAGGTAAACTGGAAGGATCTCGAAGGTTTCGAGAGCTGCGCGTTGCCACCCACGTTTTCCCCGCGCGACCGCGCACGTGTCCCTCGTAGACGGCGGTTCGCGAAAGCAATGTCTCTCTTCCTTTGAATTTGATCGTCCCCTAACTTTATTCCCTTTCAACAAGTTTAAACGCGGCCATGAACTAATACAAGGAAACAATCGGTTTCGGAACGCGCTCGCTTTCTCTCTCTCTCTCTTTCCTCGAGCGAGCACGCGAGTGCAGTTCCGGGCGGGAAAAATTGCTCGACATTTTTCCACGTGCGCGCATCACGCGGGGGAGGCGAGGGGAGAGCGGACCGCGGTAGCGCGTATCGACATTATCGACAGGCGTGTGTACGTACATGCGTGCGAGCGGCGGCGGCGTTGTCGATCGCACGCATTTCGAAGATTGCCATTTTGGCGGGTGACGTGACGTGTCGCGTGCGCGCCGCCCGCCGAGGGCGCCGAGCGGCCATAACGGGGAGGATTCGCGGCGTGGGAACGCGGGCGTGCACGCGCGGGCCTTCCTCGCGGAGCGTTATGCCAGGCGCGCGGTCGCGTGCACGCGCGATCGCCGAGGACAAGCCGGGATCGGGAGTCGGCGCGGCGGGCGGCGGGGACGAGATGGCAGGGGGACGCGATCGGCGGACGTACCGCCCGACGGTAAACCACGGACACGCCGCGCTGTAGGCGAGTAGGAGGCGGCGGCGGTGGCGGCGGCGGCGGCGGCGGCGGAGGAGAGGGAGGGGGCAAGGCACTATGGGAGCAATTTGCGACAGGCGCATGCGCAGATCAGTTTACAGTTGGAGCTTGGAAGAAAATGGCGTCAGCTAAGTTTCTGGAGGAAGCTCTGAGCACGGATGTCGATGAATCCGCAGTGAACGCGATAGTGGGCTCCCTCGAGACGCAGCTGGTGACGTCGACGCCGACCGTTGCCGGGCATCAAGCAAGCGCCGCGTCGGCCAGCCAGCAGAATCACCAGGTCAACAGCGCGATCTCCAACGGGGGCACCATCACCGCGGTGCAGCCACAGAAGCATGGGGTTTCCAACGGCGGCGGCGCGACTACCGTGAACAGTCTCATGACTCAGGAGGTCACCAAGTCGATCACCACCAGCACCCTGCTGCCCGTGAACGTGGTTACCTCCAACACAGTGGCGCCACAGGTCATCACCACGCAGCAGCAGCCGCAGCCACAGCCACAGCCACAGCAGCCACAGCCACAGCAGCAGCAGCAGCAGCAACAACAACAGCAGCAGCAGCACACGCAGCCGCCTGGGCTATCTCCCGCTACCTACATTAATCAAGTGACGACCAACCAGGTGTCCAGCAACCAGACCACGCATATACCGAGCTTGACCAAGACGCACGAACCGGTCAAGCTCATCTATCCCACGGTCGGGCAAGTTATAACCACCACGGGGGTGGCAAATGCCAATAATAAGCTCACGTTTCCCGCACAGACTGTCGGGCAGTTAGCGAACGGTACTTTAGGTATAACGTCGCAGGCAGTGCTGCAGACCACGAACGTTGTTACCAATGTCGGCTCCGTCAGCCAGGCTGCCAGTCAGACAGTGACCGCGGTCAACAAGCCGACCGGGGCAGCTTTAGTGATCAAGACCAGTGTAGCACCTGGCATGGTTTCAGTTCCAATGTCTGTCCCGGTCTCCGTGGCTGGCAATGCGGTCAGCACAGCGTTGCAGGCCAAGGCTGGAGTCACTTCGACCATAGTACCCAGCAATGTTCAAATCCTCAATGTAAATACGATGCGCCCCGCCACACCGGTAGTGGGGCAGCAGGCCACCAAGCAGGTTACTCCTAGAGTCGTCATCGGGCAGCAATTGGTTGGAGCACGAACTGGCGGTTCGGGGGTAAGGCGGTCCATTTCACATTTCTTGTCTCGATATAACTCGTGCGGCTCTTTTCGAGATTACGTCGGGGATAATTGAAATTCATTTTTGTACTGCATTTCCAAAATTGCATATTTTTATCTTTGTATACACTTGCAATACTTTTTTGCTCAATCCATCTTTTAAATTGTTTTTGTATCTAAAGTTTTGAGTTTCATTGGAAAAAACTACACGTATATAGTTTTAATAGTCGTATCGCTACACTTTTACTGTTCGCTGTTAACGTATGTGTAATTTATTGAAAAACTTGGCATTTATTTTGCAATAAGAGAACAAAATGCAAAGGAACGCGATGGCAACGCGACTAACGATTATTATCTTGGATTTTTAGATAACATTACAGGCACTTCATAGTCTTCAAGCGGGTGCTCAAGGTCATCTGTTGTTAAAAACAGAAAATGGACAGTATCAGTTGTTGAGGGTGGGTCCAGCCCCGACCGCGGGCACTCCAACTGGTACTGCAGTCACACCGAATAGTATAACTGGCAACGCAGTAGTTGCCGCACCATCTCCAGGCACTACCTACCGCCTAACTTCAGTGCCGACTGTAAGTAGGCTGAATACTCAGTTCACTGGCCCACCACTCGCCACCCTAAGAAAATCTGTTCAGGTGACGCACTTTTATACCTCTTACAAGACTCGTTGTAGTGCTACCTGTAGATATTTATTAGTTTGTGATTTGTTTTCTGTGGAATGATGTTATCAGTAAGCCAGTTATACTTTACCTTCTGTCCACTTGGTTTCGCCTACTACTCGAAAGATTTAATTACGACGTGAGATTTTTGTCACTAGCTGTCTCTTTATTTATTGATTGTTTGCGAACATTTAGTGCATTATTGTACTTAAGGCACTGTATATAATAATTATAATTGTCATTTTTGTAAGTTCGTACTCTGAATGTGAAAGTTTTACGAGCAGTTTTTCTTTTGTCGTCATAATGTCCACTTATTTCGGCCCACGTTTCATACACATTCAAAGAGTTTCAAGTTAAGTTTCGTAATTGATAACATCTCATTATTAGCTTACTTTTTGGGATGCGTTTCTCTGGTAGTATGTCTTGAGTTTTATCAAGCGCAGCAAATGCATTAAAATTCAATGTCTTTATCAAATTTAATTGCATGAATTATTGGTTAAAGGTGTTATGTAGAGGCTGCTATGCTAGATGAAAGATAAATTTATTTTAAGAAAGGATACAACTGAGGATATTTATGCGTATCTTTTATATTTGCTCCTTTTTGTTCTATGTACATTTTTATTCATATATATCTTTCTAAACTTAGTTTTATCTTTCTTGCTGATATTATAATATAAGCATGTGTAATTACTCAAAATTTTCATGGTTCTATTTTCCATTCCGTGCCTATTTTGCATTTGAGAAGTCATAATAGTAAAAAAAGTTTTTTTTTAAATCTACTTTCTCTCCCTTTCTTTCTCTTTTTACTATTGCGTTGTATATTATATTCCGAATAATAGTGATATACGATGATATAATTTGGCTAAAAATTGGCATATTGCACAATTACATTCAAAAAGGTCTTTATACATTGTCTAATACAATCAATTGAAATTAGAAGCTAATATAATATTGTGTAAACTGTTGAAGTAAAACAATCAATGAATATTGATTATATATTATTTATTTCGCGATGATCTATTTGCAATTATCTACAATCATACGAAGAATTGTAAAATATGAGTCTGTACAAGGTACAAGTGCGTCTAAAGAATACGTTGTAACAAATAGACTACATGTATAACAATTCATTTTAAGTATATTGTTATTATATATTAACATAAAGAGTCAAACTATTTATTATTGCAAGTTGTTGATTTCTACACAATTTTAATGTAATAAAAACTTATACGATTATGATCATTTGCAATAGCCAGCGAGTGAGAACTTTTTTTATAGGACTATTGTTTCTAAACCTTGGCATGCATGTCAGATAATAGATGCAATTTGTAATTTATTATGAACGTAGTAACATAGAATTTCTAAAGATTCTTCTAGTTGCATGCAGTAAATAATGAATATAGATGATACATTTTTACTTCAAATTATTGAAAATTTCAGAAAATATCCCTATTCTTTATTTACATTTGTGAGTTGTATATAAATGTAATGTAAAATGTTAATAGGTCTTGATGTGTCGTTTTAAAATAGCATCAATTACATTGTCATTGAGAGGAGATAGGGTAACTGTTACGTATGTAAACATTTGCCACAAGGATTCTCAATAATTCACTTTTCCTCGCGTTACAAAATTTACTTTAAGTACAACCATTATTTTAATTTTACTTTTTTCTTATTTGTATTTTATTATTATTTCTGCATGTAAGTTTCGCGTTAATTCGTCATTCAACATGAATATAAACATATAAAAGTTTTATGATATTTCGTGGATTGTACTTTTAGCATTTCAACGGTATTAATATATTATAAAAATATTACACTGCTACAGACTGTTGCTCCTACTATTACTACATCTACTACAACCCCAGGAACAGTGACTACTGCACCTACAACTACTTCTGCACCAACGGCTACCACTGTTCAAACAGCTCAAACATCTACACCGGTATATTTCCCTCTATTAAGCTGAATTTTCTAAAAATTGAGTTCAAATGGGTATATATGTCATATGAAATTTCATATAAAATTAAATTCTAGAGAATAAAATAATCTAATTTTATGCACCGTTTTTAAATGTCTCGTTTTTTTTAGAGTGGAATTTCATATGAAATTAACAGCTATAGAATAATTTAGTTTTATGCACTAATGTTAAATAAAGCGTCTCTTTTTTTCTCTTTTAGCGTCAAACTCCTGATAATACCAAAGAAAAGTGCCGTAAATTCTTAGCGAACTTATTAGAGTTATCTAGTCGAGAGCCTAAAGCAGTGGAACGCAATGTCCGAACTTTGATACAAGAACTAATTGACACTAAAGTCGAACCGGAAGAATTCTGCGACAGGCTCGAAAAATTGTTAAACGCTTCTCCACAACCATGTCTTATTGGGTTTTTGAAGAAAAGTTTACCTCTTCTACGGCAGTCGCTTGTTACGAAGGAATTGGTCATAGAAGGAATAAAGCCTCCTCCACCCAGTGTTGTTTTTTCTGTAGCTTCGGCTGTTGTTCCAGCTATTACGGTAAAATAAACTTTTATATCTGACTTTATTTCTTTTACGATATATGAAAAATACAATAAGTTTTTCGTAACAATAGTTTATAAAAAGATAAAGTTTTATAGAGATCGTTTAGAAATTTTAATCCACGTATCAATTTATGGTATTTGATATGAAATATCGATGCTTGTTTCACTCCATATAGTCTACCATCTTTGAGAGTATTTATGGTATTATATGAACAATCGTACAAGATTATTGCATCATTTTCTAATTTGCAATTATATGTTATTGTAGCAACCTCAGTACAGACCTGCAGTAGCAGTGGCAGCAACTGTTCCTGTAACAGCGACTGCAGCAGCAACAACACAGGTGAGAGTAATGGCACCACTTCCAACAGCAGTGACTGCAGCAGCAGTGGTTACAACAACGGTTCCGCGGCCTGCCCAAGCTATTCCACAGAGGCTGGTAAGATTCTTGTATACTTATTTCAAAAAATTTAGTGTATACTTTGTCTACACAAACAAATGTTTATTAAGCAATTTAATTTATTTAATATATTTGATTGTTCTTAATTAACATTTATATAATTGGAAATAAATGATGATATTAAGGAAGTTGGAAAGGTTACTGTTTTAATAACATGTACTACAATTTTTGGTATTTTTTTTTACAATCTTTTGTGCAAGGTGTACATCAGAATTGCATATGGTTTAAGGTTCGACCAGTAACGACAGTGGTTCGGACCCCAACCACACCGTTTACTGTGAAAACGACAGTAGCAACAACTGGAATTCGCCCCACTGCCCCCGTTGTGCAAAAACCACCCATAGTCGCAACTACGATTATAAAACCAATCACTACTACGCAAGGCAAAACACTCAATACAACCACTACTGTTAATAAAGCCGTAGTGCCTTCTCTTGTTCAAAAACCGGCTGCGAAGGAGAAAGAGAAAAAGACGTTTCCATCAGCAGGATACACGTAAGTTTTAGCATTATCTGAAGATAATTAAGTAATTATTGCAAATAAGTGAAGAAATAAGCAAAGAAACGTCTATTTAACCCTTTCATAACCAAATAAATTTTTTGTTTTGAAAGTTTTAGTTGATATAATGTTTTTCTGTAATAAAATGCTAAATTATTGAACCTTAAATTTTGTAAATGAATTTGTACGTCCAGTGGTCATGATAAGATTAAAGATAATTTATACCGTAATTGTTTTAAAACATAACGTTATAATTTCTTTTATGTAGGGCGGACGATGATATAAATGATGTAGCAGCTATGGGTGGTGTTAATCTTGCGGAGGAATCTCAAAGAATACTCGGTTCTACAGAATTTGTTGGCACTCAGATACGATCCTGTAAAGATGAAGTATTTTTGCACATGACACCGTTACAACAAAGAATTAAACAAATTGGTAAATTTATTTCCCCGTTTTACTACTTTAAAGGAATATGGACTTATGTGAGTTCGTTTTAACAATCATATTTTATTTTAGCATCCAGTCATGGGCTGGAAGAACCTAACCAAGAAGTAGCGGCGTTAATTTCGCATGCTGTTCAAGAGAGGTTAAAGAATTTAGTAGAAAAGTTAGCAGTCATAACGGAACACAGGATAGATCTTATAAAGGTAAATTTTGAGTATGTTATCGCGTTTATTTTTGTACTTCTCTACTTATTTATATACGGATTGTATTCATACTAATTGAAGTTATTTTACTTATATAAATTCGCGGGTATGTTACATTTCTCTTTTTCGTTTTTATAATATTCTATTTATTTACAGGTTGACCCTAGATATGAAGTAACGCAAGATGTAAGAGGGCAATTAAAATTTTTGGAAGATTTAGATAGAATTGAACGTAGAAAGCACGAAGAGCAAGAACGTGAAGTACTTTTACGTGCTGCAAAGAGTCGCGCAAAAACAGAGGATCCCGAGCAAGCAAAATTAAAAGCTAAGGCCAAAGAGGTAATATAGAAATCTAATTTTGCAGTAGATTCGTGTGCATGTGTACGATAAGCTAAGTTTATATAAATCCTAATATATTTCTCGACAATTCCTGTGGAGTTTATCTCTGCAGTTTACCTTTCTACAATTTATTCAAGATGTTAAATTATTTTAGATGCAACGTGCAGAGATGGAAGAATTAAGGCATAGGGATGCAAATCAAACAGCTTTGCAAGCAATTGGCCCTCGTAAGAAGCCTAAACTCGATGTGGCAGGATCGACCAACAGTACTCCTGGCGCAAATGCATCAGCGAGCGGAATGAATAGGCAAATGCCAATGAGACCACGTTTGAAGAGAGTGAACTTCAGGGATTTGATATTTCTTCTCGAACAGGAGAAAGAAACGTGTAGAAGCACAATGCTGTATAAATCGTACTTGAAGTGATGCACTGTGAAGGGCAGGAACTTTAGTGACCCGCCCAAAATCTGGCGCTCTATCTGTATGGTCTTGTATGAGCTGGCCTCGATGGATCGTGCGACGTTATTCTACGTTGCAATGTATAGTAAGTTATTGCGAATTGCATATTATTGCAATAAAACTTCTTGGGAATTGGCTTGGGATTCTGCGTATATTCAAAGTAAAATTGTTTCCATCATGTCGATACTAAGCTTCCCTATTGTAAATGACTGAACATTTTTTAACTGTAGTATACGTTTTTTAAATGTAAAATAATAGATCGTTCTTTATTTTTCAACACAAAATCGCATCGATAAAAGGAGTAATGTGTATGAGCACATGTCTCGTGATTAGTCTCTATATAGTCCTTTCGTGGCGAGAAAGAGAGAGTGAGAGAGAGAGAGAGAGAGAAAGAGAAAGAAAGAACGTATGCATGGCCATATAGAAATATTGTTATATGGTGAATGTATGAATATATTAAGTGAATGAGTATGTACATTGTCACTACGTATAGGCTCGCTGCATTGTAATACTTGACCTATACTTTTGGACACTGTAGCGCTAGTGTAATATAAGCAGGTTTTGTTATAATAGTAAATCGTATTTTTGCAAACTGTAATGTAATAATAACAATACCGCGAGCACACTGTCCAAAAAGTATGGAATAATTTGTACAATATCTTACACATAATTACTAAATAGTGATAATTTCAATGTTGGTACAACAGAATATAGCTACTCTCCACCGAAAGTTGGAATTGTTATCAGTATATTATGTTGTATATTGCAATCAACATTTTCAGTGTTTATAAAAAAAATTAGCTGTTACGTTTTTTATTAAAGAAATATTTACAAAACTAAGAATAACCAATATTTTTTTGATTGATGTTAATTTAATTATTTATATTTCCTTCTCGGAATTTTCGTGCGAATTCTGCTAATACTAATGAACTTTTGTAGAAATATTTTGCATAATCAATTAAAACAAATTCAAAGCGAGTACCTGATTTATATGTGTAAAAAAGTAGCCACAAGTGTACGTGGGTGCCTGAGATCACAGAGAACAATGCTTAAAATATCGATTTTTATTGATTATTTCATTATGTCGGTTTATATTATATTATTTACATGTCCATATTCTTTTCTGACACACTCGGGAAATGTTACTTGATGAATTATAATTGATGATGTTTTATACATATAAAACATGATTAATCCTCATAACTTACATCATATCATTTACAACGTAACGAGAGAAATTGTGCGATATAAGCACATTTTAGTAGATATTTTTCTCCCGTGTCAATTGTGTTTTACAGCTCACATATTAATATTTCATATACTCTGGTAATACTTTCATTAAAATATTTTGTTTTGTATTACTTTATTAATTTTTGATATAACATTTTATGTGTCGCCAAGATTTTTATTATTAATCACAGTAAAGAGAAATCACACGTACTTTCGAGTACTGCCAATTTGAAATACCTATTACAAAATAGCAGTATATCGCCTTTATTACTAATCCAAACCTAAATATTGATTAGATTATTTGGCACGGAATATGTCTCGTTATGGAATATTTATTCTATATAATCAATGTCGAATAATTTATATCAACATTTAATATTTGTTACTTCGGCAATTTCTGTGCTTCCAGCTTGAACAGAGGAGCACTACCTAGTAAAATAATAATTCTATTATAATATATTCCGACGTATGACGTCTCTTAGCTTTCAGGTGTTAATAATCAGAATGAGGAATGGACGCGTGTAGTAGTCATAATTGTTAGTTATTGTTACACGCGATAATTGCTTCAATTGGTCAATAGTTTCACGTAAAAGAAAAAGACTGAACGAGTATGATGCGTAGGGAGAATACGTTTGAACATATGAATTGTAATGTATCATAGCACAAAATTTATGTAATTGGAAAAATGATATGATTATATAGAATTTCATACGTCTGAAGCGTTAATATGGGAGGGATAATTGGAGGTGACATAATTTTCGTACATATATGTATATATAAGTATTTCCATTTATTATTTTTTTTTCCTTCTGTCATTGCAATTGATTTCATCATTTTTGCAAGAGTCATTGCGATTGAGACACGCTGACAATTGAACCAAAAATTATATCCATCTGACATGTCTAATATCCAAACGGTCTGTCGTGACAGAAATAATGGCAATGTGTATATCTTGTGTAAATAAGTCGTTTTTAATAACTGCATACTTTATTTGGCATGCGTTCGAAACCATCATTATGTACCAATTTTTGCTGAGCACATCGCGTATAAAATTCTCACTTAGCTGTATCGTTCCTCTTAGCATTTTTTACTCGAACTCGAAGCAAAACGTAAAACGTGCATAAATCATAACGTTCTCTTTACTGCCAGTAGGTAGAGTATTGATATATCTATAAATAGAGAAGAATATATAAAAAATAACAGTACATTACAATTTTGGTACATTATGATATTTTTATAAACTGTACTGGGTAAGCAGTAAGCGTGAGATAATAAAATATAAAAACAAATCTCGTCGAAATGCAAACCACATTTCTTCATTTTCTAGTGTTATCTTTAGTTCCATAGTATATTAAAGTAACCGTTGAGAACAGAATTTTTGTATTTATATTTTTTTTCATTATAGAAATATTTATTTTCTAAAATGTGCGAAGGTTTAATGATAAAAATAACACTGTAGGATTTTAGCCGAGTCTGAATAATATCTAATTTTCCTCAAACAGATATATATTAAAAATTTCTCTTATGTATAGTTTTTAAGATATTTTTAGGTTTTTTTAAATAACGGCTGTTTATGCAAATTGTGGATTTTGCTGCTTCTGATATTAGCACGCATCTGATGCAGATATATTTTGTTTGGAAGAAATCCGTCTTGAAATATTACGCTTTTCGAAGTGTTTTAAACAACGAACGATTTTCGATGTTATAAGTGTAATGATATTCACGCATTACACAATAATCTTCCAAGAAATTTATTAACTTTAGCCTTAGAAGATAATGCTATCATTTTTAAACATTTTTCTCCTTCCACAGTATTTTAATTTAAACAGGAGACAGCAATACATATGCGATGACGATAAGTTTGCTTGTAATTAATACAGAGTGAAGAAAGGAGCCGAGATAGTTTCGTTACATACGATTAACTGCAGAAACAAGAAAAAGTAATAAGAATTATAAACTGGACGATAATTGAAAGGTAAGAATTATAAGAAAGAATTTAAGATCAGAGAAATGGATTTTAGAAGTGATGGTAAAAATTTCGCATTCATATGATTTTCTCATATTTTCAGTGTTCAAATTTTCTTTTTAATTTACATTAATAAGATGTACGCTTTTGTGCTGCACCGTCAATTTGCTATGAACTTACAAGCTCTGAGAATTCTCTTCTTGTGCCTCCAACGAGGATAAGACAACAAATGAAAGAGAGGTATGCAGTGGGATATAATGCAAAAATTAATCTATTGCGAAATATCGGCCGCAGATTTTTAGATGGACAGTGACGGCGGGAGTCAGTCCGGGGGTATCTTCGGATTTCATATCTACCGAGAAAGCCTGCCTCTCCGCGTAGCCTGTGGCCACGTGACGTGTATATCGGAGAACTCGGAGTATTAAGGTGGCCAGGGCGATCCAGAAATGGAATATAATCAGCTCGACGAGAGAGAGAGAGAAGACGAGGGAGACCAGACGCGGACAGGCAGAGGAAGAGAGAAAGGGATGAGAGAGGGGGAGAGAGAGAGAGAACGTTTCGCCGGGTGGATTCGAGGGATGACAGCCCCAGGCTGCTGTAAACCCCCGGGCGACGCGGATATTGAGTTCATGGTAACCATGGAGACGGGGCCCGAGGGCACGGTTTGTGCGCTTTATCCCTTATTCCCGCGGTTACGTGATCAACGCGGGTCCCAATGAGCTCTCTTACTTCGCCTCTCACGTACGCGCCTCGTCCTTGCATACCCGCTCGCTCGAGAGATAGATATTTTTTTTCGAAAATTCCCCTCTCGGCGGATCTCTATAGAAATTTTTCCATCTAGTGTTTTCTCTATGGCATACAACAAATAGCGATAGTTATTAAAACGCCGATGCGACACCGCGCTCGCTTTAATATTATCGTCACGTCTTTGCGATTTGCGTGTGTATGCGTGTTACACGCAGCAAGCTCTTTTAAATACATTTTTTTTCATTTATGAGGAGTATACTCGGCGTATCTCCTTGTTATTCTCTCCTTTTCTCGCTTCTCGAGCGGCCGATGGAAAAATGATTCGCATTCCGCGGCCGCATTCCGCGGCCGCATTCTTCTCCGCTTTTGCTCGCCGAAGTCACCGGCGATAAATGTTCAATTCCCGATCGGGCGAGACCCAGGAATTGCGGGATCTTCTCGCCGCGCGCTCCAAGGAACCGGAGGTGCCCGGTGGATCGTCCAGACGTTGCAGCCTAATGCAATTTCAGCAGGAATTTCACGCGGAATTCGTGGTCCCTCGTCGCTGCCGGGCGCAAACACGCGTACCGGAATCATCTTCCAGAGAGCTTGACGGGAAGACAGCCCTGTTCAGCGGAGGGTTTGACGAGAAAACTCGACAATGCTTGTTGCAACAGTGTGAATCCCGTGCCGACCGCCGACCTCCATCAACGGCGAATGTGGATTCAACAATGTATCTACCTATAATACAAACAACGATAATTAAAACGTTAATTCACGCCACGCGCGAAATTATGAGCCGATCGCCCGGCACTTCCGTCTCGATGGCGGACGCTATTTATTTTTGCCGAGATACGAGTGTCTCGTTAAACCGTCGGAAGCTTTGCGCATTAATTTCACGAAGACCCGATTATCACGTGCGACAAAGAATGCAGAAGTCGACTCACTTGCGGCTGATCATTTCTCTACCGACGTAATCAGCTTCGCTAGTTTCGCGGCTTTGAATTTTGCGCCAAATGCAATTCGATTCGCAATCAGTTCACTTCAGGCTGAACGCGCGAAAGAATATGGAAGGAGATCCGGTCAGGAGCTAGATTCTCGAATTCATTCGCATAAGAAACGTACGTGCAAATTTTTTATTCTTACAGAAAAGTCGATTGACCAAAAGTTGTGCGATAACGAAACTTGCAACTTTTCTGCCGCGCGCGATGCTCGGTCTATTCTACACATATGGTTTTCGCCAGTCGTCAAGTTGACTCGCGTGGTGGCGCGCGGTATCCGGGGCGAAGTTGCCGTCGATTTCGTCCTTTCGCATCGCGTCGTCGAGGGACCTCGCACGGTGATCGCGACGCGTCGGAATCGAACGTATGTATTATATGTACAAGCGTGAGCCGTCCCGCGTTTAGCCGCGCTCCAGCGTTTGACAATCGCGCGACGCAGATTCCGGATGTGTCGTTTCGTCAAGACGTGCGCCTCGCGAGGTTCGTTGAGAGCCGGTCGACCGGCTTGTCGATCCGCTCACAAATAGGTCATCCGGCTGACCTTCCGTGTCGTATCCAGTGAGAAATGATTCGTCGATCGACGTCGAATCGACATTTCGACGTCTATCGACGAATCATTTCTCACACTGGGTATGAGGCGACTAAGGGTCAGAGCACAAAGCAATGTAACAGCTTACGACAGAGACGTAAGCGTGAACGTAGACAGCGCACAAGCTCTGGCGTAAAAGTAACGTCGTATGTAGTTGGAGGTGAGTACGACATACGCCAAAGCTTGTGCGCTATCTACGTTTACGTTTGCGTCGTTGTCGTAAGCTATTACCCCAGTGAGAAATGATCCGTCGATCGACGTCGAAACGACGTCGAATCGACGTCAATTCGACGGCGTCGATGTCGATTCGGCGTCGTTTCGACGTCGATCGACGAATCCTTTCTCATCGGGTACGTTGCTTGGAACCAAACAACTGAAATCTGAGGTCAATTAGCCCTCCCTTACTCAAGTGTTAACCTAACACTCGAAAGTTGAGCGTTTTTTACCGTAAGGGAGGGCCGGGAGGGCTAATTAGTTACATGACGAGACGCGAGGGTAATATCGCGGCGAGAAGTGCGGAAAGTGCAGCCGGGAGCAACAGGTGCAGCACCGTCGCGCCCTCGATGCGTGAAGTTTGCCGCGAGATTTACGGATCTTCCTCCGTCATGTTGGATTCCGTTCGTTTGTTCGTGGGACGTCGCGGATCGTAATCGACACCGGGCGGATCGATGTTCTCGCGCGATCGTGCCTCATTTGCGCTGATTCTCCACTCGGGACGTCGTAAAGTAACGCGTACGCCTGCGATGGTGCCGGAGGTGCCGGATGTGCCGTGCGAAGTGCCGTTGCGTCACAGCGTGCGCGCGCGATACTGCGACTAACCTGCGCGTCTCCGCGAGCAAGCGGCGTCCCGGTGAGAAACGATTCAGCGATCGATGCTGAAATCGACGTGAAAAATACGGTGTTGAGTACAAGTGCGAATGCCATGGAACAATGCAACACGGCGGTTGAAGGAACAGCAACGGAGAGGAGCAGGCGGCCGGAAAGGTATCGGGCGTCAGCGGGGCAACTGTAGGGTGAGTGTATAAATCGCTATTCGCCCAGCGAGAGAAACGGTTCGTCGATCGATGCTGAAACGATGCTGAAACGATGTTGAAACGATGCCCGAATCGACACCGTCAAATTACCGGTACCCCCTCGACTTGCGAGGAGTAACACGCTGGGAGCATTGTGGTGTGCACATTTGGGGCATTACTGGGCATTGGTTTGGGCCTTGCTGGGGCATTATAAAAATAAAATGAGATAATAAGATAAAGCGATGCCCACTGGGCATCAGGAGGCATTGGTGTATATGATTTTGGTGAGCGGTTTGTCCCTCGTCGATTCGACGCCAATTTGAAGGTGTCGACTCGATATCGTTTCGACAACGATCGACGAATCATTTCTCACCGGGCAGTTATTTATTCTGTCAATTGCTATCGCGTGGCTGAATACAGAAAAAGGAGCGTCTCATAATTGCCATTTTCAAAACTGTTTTCAGCTTATTGTTTGTCCGTGGAAAGGAAGCGAGAATGCGCAGGGAAAATTCAACAAGATTGAATCGAATAGACGATCGGCCGACATTCTTTGGAACTTGGCCACTTGTCGCACAGCGGCAGATGTTGCCACTTTGAAAGATTTCCGAGCGCGTCTTTCTAGCGCGCTCTTCTGTCGGCGATGAAAAAAATTTGCCACTGGTTGCGGTACGCCGCGTCGGTAGTGCAAACGCGCGACAGTCCCGTCAAGTAAACTCCGTGCGACCATAGTATTCGTCGTCCGATGGATCTTCCACGGGTTGATTTCGCGGACAACTTAATTGAATTATGCGACAGTTAATTAGTAGTGGCTTCAATTAGTTTTTGCACGATAGCAGTTTTAATAGATTCAGAAGACGAATAAAGTCACCAGTGCGGTAGTTATTTCTTAAGATATTAATCCTGATCCTGCTTTAATTTGGATGTATCTGTGTGTTGCAGATTAAGGATACTATTTCATTTGTCGTGCGACAAATGAAAATCCAGCCTAATGTATTACAACCCCGCTGCTGCGCATCTTGTGCCGGTGAGTGTTAAGTCACTTTTTCGAGTTGGTGAATTTACAGAAATGTATTAAAACAATATATATGAGGCGTCACTACCAATTATCATCGAGAACGAGAAGTGTATTATAATTGGATCAGATACAAATTAGAATCTACTCACAAAATACAGAAATCAACGTCTTGAATGAGCTTTAATATCTTGGGTGGGGACACGAACGAAGCCTTATTGGATGCTTGAGATGCATCAATAAATTTTTATATGGATCTAATGCAATAATTAGTTTGTCGTGTTTAGAGTGATAGAATCGTGCTTACTATTACGTGGCTAGATACAGAATGCTCCTGGAGAATAGGCGTTTCATTGCTTTCAGTTTTTTATTATTTACTTATTATTCGACCGTAGAAAGACAGAGAGATAGAATGCATAAGAAAATTGAATAAGAATGAATTAAACGTTCGATCAGTGTTGTTGGAATGTGGGCATATCAATTGGTTTTATGTCGGTTATTAACGTGCACTTACATTTATGTAGCGATGTACGTGTAAAACGATACTATCGAGACTGAAACAACAATGACTTAGATAATTGAATTCGGAAATCGTTCAAAAATTTCTCACGCTTGGCATCTCAAGACTTTGTCTCTCCGTTGGACAATTAAAAATTTCTTACTCGGTACATGGGTGGGAATAATCGCACTGTAATCAAGCGTCAAGAAATCTCATTGTCACGTGACTCGCGCGTTGTCTTGCTACAAAGTTTTCTGATCTCCATGCTGCGCTAGCGATTTTGTTCGTCTAATAATTTTATTGTGCCGGGCAAAATTCTTTCGCTCCGGGCGCGACGCAACATCCATTGCAATCGAGAATTGATTGCGAGCGACAATAATTTCGCAGTCTGTACTTTTGCTCGTTTCTCGAGTAGAAAATTTATTGTCTATCCTAGAGAAAAAATCTCGACCGTGCCGCTAACAATATCGTTCAGAGTCTCGCGGAAAATAGTGACAATTAAACTATCCGTATAAAACGTAAGTGGCAGCTGTTGTTGAAAAATAAGAATAGTATTTCCCTAGTTTTTTCCTCGGAACGTTAAGGAGTGTGCATGTGAAACAATAAAATCGCTGCGTTCTCCTGAAACGTAAAATAAATATTTTATTAAATCAGTTGTAATGCGCGATACTTGCAAGGTTTCTTAACGGTTATAGTTCACTCTTTAATTTCTAATAATCAAAGTGCTGTTTAAAGAGCTTACATGTGTAATTTAATCAGTGCTAATCTCGAGAGGATTTAATGTTTTCCGCCTGCTGCTCCTTTCACGTCCTCACAGTGGAATTTATAATTTGATACTATCTCGATAAAAACTTTAATTCAACTGACTCTCGATCTGATCGACGCGTGTCAATCATTTCGTTGTTTCCGACTCTTCCTTATGTATGAATTTAAGCAGAATACGTGTACACGTGTTTATGCTACATTTATATGTACGTATAAGTGTGTATTCAGATCTGTATGTGTATGTATATACACGTTTATTCGCGGTATTTACAGTAATTAGTATGGCGTTTAAATACATATAGGTACACTTTATTAAATAATAACAATAGTAAAAACCGGCGCGTCTGATATTCTCAAACGCAGAGTCGCAGATTGTAACACGAGGCGTGGACAGCGATGTTTTACAATTGCGCGCACCAATAGCGTTAATCAAGAACAAAACAGTGCAGTAGACAGTACGACATATTGTTGATTCGCTTGTTCAAGCTGCGTTAATGACTATACCTTTTGTCGCGGTGACACGTGCATTTTTTTAACAATGAACGAAAGGAGGATACGGAATAAGGTGTATACGGTTGATGTGCGTGAGTTAGGCTCTGCTGCGGATCACACGGCGCATCATTGCCCTCGTTAGGCTCGCTGCTCTTTTAGGTGTGACTCAACGATCGTCGTAATCACAAAGTATGTCGAGTCAAATAATCTACGTGTACTTAACTATCTATGTACTTAATTATACTTACTTAAAAAATATCCGCAATAATTTATCTAACGTCCTCTCACGATCGACAACGACCCGTTTAAGTCACACCTAAGACGCGAACGGTCACCGCGTTAATGCCGGTCGTCGCAACTGCAGGTAAATGCCGCGTGCTCTAACGAGTTTTTGCAAACGGCTTGTTATAAACTTTTTATAAATTTATAAAACTCATTCCAATATAATATATACTGCATATATTATCATGCATATATATATAATTGTTACATATGTAATAATTACATAAAATGTACATTTATAGTTACTATATTATGACATACAGTAACTATATATACATATATATATTTCCTTGATGAATGTAGATGTGTTTGTGATTCAAAATACATTAGTTTTAATTCTCCTCAAAGGATCTCGCGCTTTTCTTCTGGAAAATGAGTTTAGGTGAAATTGGCTGAAAATGAAATATTGTAACTTATGACATCGAAAGTTCCAATGGACGGAGAGCTAAAGAGTGGACAGTTTTTTTTTTAAATAGGTTCTCAAAGTGTACGATTCACGGGAGTTCGACTATTGCCTACGCCAGAGTCGATAGCAACATTTTTTCCGCAGCCGCAAATCACATCGCCATCAAAACTTTAATCGTAAACTCATTTCGTAATTTTTTTCGCAACTTTCCGCAGCCACTGACCGCAAATTGAGAGGCAAGGAGAAGCTCGTGTTAAAAAAAGGATAACTCGTAACGCATGCCGATTATTTACGAAAAAGGCAGCGAGGAATCAATTTATTGTTTCAAGTACTTTAATCTGCTGCTTCTCTCGCAGGCAACAGTAAAAATCGTGTGAATCGTACACTTTGAGAGCCTGTAACGAAATAATGGACCATTTTCAGGTTTTGATCGGGACCAGATCGGCTACAATGCATTTCATTTTCAGCCAATTTCGCACGAACCCATTTTCCATAAGAAACGTGCGGGATTCTCTGTTGCTAAAAAGTCTGTTTTACAAGTTTGATGTGGATTATTAAATTTATTACTAAAAATTTACTAACACAGACGAATAACGAGGTTTATTCGTAAGTTTTATCAGTAGTTTTACGATCATTTTACAGTTAGAATGAGATCGATTAAGTACCTTCGATGTCAGCCATCTCAATTATAACGTCAGAATAACATGCAAATAACTCTTGTAACTTACGTGCGCCTACAAACGAGACGTTGCTGTCTGATAACGTTGGCGTGTAAAGCGAACGCAAATTGACGTAAATTGCAAAACTTATTCGCACTCCCCTATTCACTTATTCACTTGTTCGCGATTCAAGATGACTTGACGCAAGAGTCGAGAGACTTTAATGCACGTTACGAGATCTTCGTATTACTACAAGTATTTCGGCATCAAACTGCGGTTGCGATCGCCAGCCTCCCAGCCTCGTGCCAAGCTGCCCCGTTTCGTCCTGCCAGAATAAGCGAATTATCCGCGATGCAGTCTTGAGGTGTTCTCCTGAACAGTCGCGCTCACTCCAAGTCGTGGCCGCGCTGCAGGCAGCGGATCGTCTTGGAGATCGTTTTGCGCTGATGCGCCGTGCTCCGTCAAGTGTTGACGGCTTGCCTGATGAACAGGTACTCCGAGAACTGCTGGCCCTCGACGCCGCCGCCGTTGCTCGCGACTACCCGGAAGCCGGCGTTCAGCAGTCTGGTAATAGCCTGAACGGAGTTTAGCTTGCAGTAGCCGTTGAGCGGGAACCGGATGACGTGGCGGGCGTCCTGCTGGTGCCAGGCGACGCCGGAACGCGCGTCGATCACCGCTTGCGTCGTTTCCGGGAACACCTCGTCCAGTAGCGCACGTCCGCCCGACAGCATCACCCGCTCGCCCAGGTCCGGGCTCACGTGCAACGCCACGCACTCGTAGCCGCAGTTGCCGTCGTTGCCGCGCATCTTGTCGGGGTCGCGGTTGCAGGGCGCGGTGGTGCAGGCGGTGCCGCGGCCGCCGAGCTGACCGGAGGGCGGTGGACTCGGCGAGGCCGCGGTCATCGTCGTCGAGCCGTTCTTTATGCGCTCCTTTTTCATCTGCTCCAATTGCCTGCACATGGCTGAAAGGGAGAGAGAGAAGCGTTACGTTTCGAGGGGAATGATCTCGTTTTAACGTGAATTTCGCGAGTCTGTCATAGTGCGACTTTACAATTATTGATAACTAGGTCGTGAGGTTCCGTCTCCGCTGACGGCACTACAGTTTCATTTCGGTCACAAGTGGGCGTGATAAATTAGAAAATTTTGCACGTAAAATTCGATTATTATCGGGACGAAATGTATACTGATTAGTGTCCCGGGGGAGTAATTTTCACTGACTTATTTCTGTCTCTCTGTAACACTCGGAGTTCTGTATTACGCCTGTAATCAAGCGAACAGCTACTTCTGCGTTCGTTATTACTATTCCATTACGGCGGAGCGTTGCGCGCACGCAAAAGTCGGTCAAGAGAATTAGAAGAGGAATGAACGTATCGTTACATCGCGATTTATATTGGTAACGAAAGATAACGCGCCTCAAACCGGTCATCCTCATTTCATTGCGCGAAATCCCGTTTCCATATCGTCCTCACCTCACGTGAGCGATTCAATTGCCGGGCATTACGCACATTAAACTTGAAAATCGAAGAAACGAGGTAAAAAAAGGGTATTTTACGCGCAATATCGAAGTATCGTGCTTCCTCTAGCAGCAAATCTAGGTCGGCAAAGTTGTCGGGTATCAGCAGCCGGGAGTTTCGCATAAAATTCAGTATGTGCCGGAACATGCCGCCGTCTCTGTCGATGAAGTAGTGCTGTTTTAGCGAGTCCAGAACGATGGGGATGCTGCCGTTGAACAATTTCGCTAGCCTGGATTCCGGGTACCTGGAAAAAAAACCCCCGAGATTTTCTTTTCAAACAAGATCGTATCGTATGTGCGAAAGCTGCGACTTTGTGACTCGTAGGCATTTCATCACATGATCGGTTGAAAGCGCGCGCGAGAAAATACTCGAGAAAGCGTTTGATTCATGAGACACTTGGACTTCGAAGCTGCGTGTACGACCGATGTGTGCACGTGCAATCGTAATTGACGTATAAAAGTGCAGTTATCGGTATCCGAGATTAAGAACTCAATGTACACGGATTGAATATTTAACAACGTGGGGATTATACTTTTTATCAGCTAACAGAATGTGGGCAGGTGCTGACACTTTGATCACCTGCCGAAACCGCTTCAGGTAGCTGCGTGTTGCCTTCGCGATTGCTGGTTACGTGCAAGCAGCTGTTCGTTTTAATAAATTCACAATAATAGACTGACCGAATTTAGTTTGAGCAGCAAGCTATAGTTATTATGCGAGGGCTTGAGAAGTGAATCTTGACAACATTATCCCGAATAAAAAGTTCGCCTCGGTATATATAATATTTTATGGGTAATGCATTTAGCCGAAAACACTGTTAAATATTAAAAGATCCGAACGTGGGATATTTGAAAAATACGCACATTGAATAACCGGACGAAGACGCGAGCGCAGGGCAAAAATAATATTTTCAATCGGAAAGAGATTCAACCGTTAATAAAATCCATTAGCCGATCGTTTATCGGGAGGATTCAATTTAATTCAGTTCAATTGAAAGAACCGCTCATTATTGAAAGGAAGCAATGAAATATAGAGGGGAAATGTATGAGAAGGCTTGCGTCGGGAGTTTGTTACGCGTGAATGAGGACAGAACGGTAGGCTCGCCAAGACTTGGCGTAAGATACGCGCATGAAATCTACTTTAGCCGATATGCAGATGCACGCGTGTGCGTCTCGCAGAGCCCGTGCACCGTATGTATCACTTTTTCCGGCTTCTTTAGAAAGTGCCCGTGACATTTTCGAGCGCGTTTCACAACGTGCTCGCGCGAACGCAGCATCGTTTAAAGTAGGCTGCGGCTAATCTTCTTATTACATATCTTGGCGCTATCGTTGCCGTCACGATATCCCTTCCTTTCCCGCTTCGTAATTACATCTCGAGGCTAATGAGAATAACGTGGCGTTTCGTTGCGCATTTAATTTCGCTATAAATTAAAGCAGCGAAATTATAGAAAAGAGAAGCTGGGGGATTATAATTCTTATCCTTTTGTATGGCGAAGTAAATTTAATTGTCCGAGAGTATTCTGTTATCAGCCATGGAAAATCACGTTTCTTTTTTCGAGAAAAATGTCAGCACTATACTTCCGATCTGCTTTTTTTTAAACAGACAGTCTAATTTAATTTTCACATCAATGTGGCAGCGAGAAATTGCTCTGTCTCAAATATCTCGTGATTTTACCTCATTAATATCTAATTTTTATTAGATTTCCCGACGCGTTCGTGATTCCACGGTCAACGATACACGGTGAATTTCGATAGACTTTTCATTTCTCCTTGGAATGAATTTTACGTAAAGTTAAGATCGCCGATGCGCATGCGGAGGAGAGATTCGAAAATCCTGTTGTCTGCGGCAAAAGGGCTAATAATGCCCACGATCCCGTGAACGAATCACACTTATGGAATCCGTGTCAATCAGCTTCACGCACGCGTTTGCTCGCATGTGCTCACGGACGTGCCGTGAGCGGTGCGGCGTTCTGCATGCGCCGCCGAAGGTCGTCGTAATTTAGCATATAATAGACGAATGCTCTGGGAAAAGGACGGGGCGAAAGAGGAGAAACGGGTGGGAGCCGGGGTAGAGGACGTGATAGGGAAGAGGACGGATGGAAGAAAGATACGGGTTGACTCCGCGAGGACCGCGGTGCGACGGGAGAGGAAGAATCGGGCTCTCCTCTTCGTGTATCTCGTCGTTGTGCGTTATGGTACAACGAGGGGGAAATACCGAGGTACCTGGTACCCCCTCGGGCCGGTTCCCATACCTTCCACGGCGATAACATATAATAACGACGGCCTCATGGAGCCTGTGGGCGATCTGACTTTAGCGAGCAAGAGAGAAGAGAAGACACCGCGGGGTAGATACGGAGGTGTATACATATATACAGATATGGAGAAGGCTCTTCTCTCTCTCTCTCTCTCTCTCTCTCTCTTTTTCGTTCTCCATCTTACTGCCTCCTTTCATCCTTCGCCCTGTTTCTTTCTCCTTCTCTCTCGCAATCTCGCTTTCCATCGACTTCCCACTGATACTTTGGCTTAAGAGGATAGAGAGAGAATCGCTGTCAGAACGGGGAAATGAAAATCGCTGGATTTTACCTCAAAGCGTGCGCGAAATTTTATACGGTATAGTTAATTTTCTATAGAATATCGAAGCGAGTTATTGTAAGGGAAACTTCACTCTCTTCCTCGGCGAACAAACCCCCTTCTCCTCCTTCGCCGCAATTGCCGCGGGTAAATTAAAATTCACACTGTAATTTCGGTCAGTGAAGACGTGAAAATGGTATACTTTCTATTTAAATGAATATCACGTTGCACTTTTTTTCCTTCATTTCTTATGCGGGATATAATTTCCGAATTTTTTTTGGCATTAGATTGAAGCGTTTACCGCAATAATGAGCCTTTTAGGAAACTTCTTTCTGGAAAGAGATCGAGACGTCAAAGAAATCTAATCTCCCCTCTAAAATTAAGTTTATCGTTTTATATTCTGATTTCGACATCCTTGGATTTCGTTTTCTAAACACATGTGTACGATCGTAAAAATGGAAATAGAAGAGAGAGCTCGTTTAACTCGCGTTAAGAGATGGAAGACGAGGGAGAAAGTGCGAAAGTGATACCGTCAGGAGAAGCGAGAACGAGATACGCGCGCGCTCTCGTAGGCCAAGGGCCATCGGTGTCTGTGGAGGTCGAGGCGACTGGAGAGAGGGAGGGATGGTAGCGGGGAAGGAAACGGTACCGGGGGCGGAGGACGAGCACCGTGATTACCCGCGGCGATTTCTTGGGCCCACCGACCAACCGGGGTCCAATCCCGGGTCAGATCCGTTCGCTATGGGAAAACGCTAAACGATCGGCTCACATCACTCAGATTCCGCTCTGCTTTCGATGTATACGGGATGTGTTCGAAATCTACCGGTTATAGGTTCCTGGATTGATTATAAATTCCGGACTAGTCTCTCCTCGAACGGTCGCCGCGAAAATGTAGTCTTATTGTTAGACACTAAACTCGCAGTAAATTAATAGAGGAAAGTCCCCTATTATGCGATAAGCTCCTAATACAGCGGAGTTTCCGCTAAATTAATAGGCTATCGTCTGTTGGTTCCACCGTGAATTTATAGCTCTTGGAGTGAAATCTGTTTAGTGGAAAATTGATCGTTAGATCGTGCAATCGTTGCGGGAAAAGATTTGTCATTGAATTTGGACGTTGAAAATCTGCTAGCTCACATTACAATCCTATCTCATAATAGAGGACTTTCCTCTACATAAAACTACCGAGTGATAACGAGATTTTATTTTCTGATGCAGTGGATTCCACCTTAATAAAGATATTTACTTAACAATTGAAACACTGAAGAAAAAATTTCGCCACCGTAGCTAATCATGAAAATATTTTTATAAATTTCCATACCACAGCGAACGATTTGCTGTCGCACCTAATAGTCTAATACAATAGGCACAGCAGCAAAATATTCAGCTGTCACAACTGAATATTAGCAGTCCACATTTTACAACTGAAATTTAGTTAACACGGGCAGTGTTTAGCTACGGTAGCTACATTCTTTTTCCCGTGAAATTTTGCATCACAAATAAGGATGTTTATTCTTGTTGTCGCGTAACCGCCCGTTTCTCGATGACTAAAGAGATTGTCGGGTCGGAGCGTTTCGACCGGTCCGAAATTTGACGCAATAAATCGGATTTTATGGGCGAAAATAAGGATAAACGCACGCGCTCGGCTGACGCATATGCGGACATACGTGTGAGCCCGAGAACGAGACGCGTCCGCCAAGATATTCCGTTATATCCCGCTAAATTGCACGTGTCGGGCTAGAGGGCGAGGAAATGACGACTTGGTACTTCACCATGGGATACCCTCGAGGCTCTGTTCAGCCTTCTCGACCGGCAGGATGATCGACGATGTTTTAGGGATTATGTGATACCGGAAGCGCGGACTAATGATCGGCTATTACGTCATTCCTGTAAACGCTTGGTAGAAAATGTCGATACGCAACGATTAATCTTTCGCGAGGCACGTGGGATCCCACGATAATCCTTCGAACGTATTATTGACAGTATTATGTACGTCCTAAGAACTCGATTCTTTTCTTATTGATACACGAAAAGAATATCGTGGACTTTTGGATCGTAGTTCAACTATTGTAAAAAAAAATTATTTAGCAATGATAGTTGTTGTGCGTAAGCTTAAATAATAATGTCTTTGTGTTGTAGTAAAGTTTAGCATTGGACAAAGAAAGATAGCGTTGAGAATAGAATTTATCAAAATCATAAGTTAACTAAATTATTCTCAGATAATTATATGTTAAATAATTATGTCTTGACGGGCGTGTTTCGTTAAATAATCATTTCAGCCAGTTAAGACCATTAAGGCCCGGGGTTGCATCAGCGTCGCTTATCTTATAACTTTAGCTTAATTCACTTTTCGTCTCTTTTTAACTGTTTCTCTTAGAAAGAGACTAAGCTAGGGTTAAAATTAAGCGACGTTGGTGCACCCGGGCCCAAGACTGATTGAGTGGCAAAGCAATAATAATAAGGGAACAAAACTAATAAATTTTCGAACGCGTGTAATATACAGTCGAAACGCTCTTCTCTTTGATAACGAAATCATATTCTTGCATCAAATAAAAACGAGTTATTTTAGACGAGTATCGTGTTTTCGATGTACAAAGCTGCGGGTTATCGCATAAATAGACATTTACTAATTAACATCACATAGGTCGGTGGGTTGTTACGGGATCATAAACGTTTGGCGTTATTTTGAAATTGCCGATTATACACCGACGAGTGAACTAAATTAATCAACGGTATGAATTTATTATTCGTGCGCATTATATTGACCTGTTTACTTCATCCATAGCGTCGTACGGCATAAACGAGGCACCTAAATATGCGCGGTCTAATAGAAACTGTTCTATCCATCGTGTTTATTAATGCAAACTAATTGTGAATATTTAATCACTTATTCCGCGCATTTCCGAGTATATATTATACTTGACCAATATTCTGCATCTCTTAATCAACCGGAATTTTGTGCTTTCGATGAACGGAGAGTCGAAATCCGCTCGGAGAGTCGAAATCCGCTTTTGTCTCGAGAAATCATCGGTTCCTTTCGTTTGTGATAAAAGTAAAAGAGTTCTGTTTTTATCTAAAAACAAAACTAATCTCATTGGGCTAGCAAAATTCTGCGATTCAAGCTGAATCATAATTTTGTTACTTGCTATACGGTTAAATAATTAGTTGCATACATATTTTTTGCGACCTATTTTCGAACGTTAATATTGGCTCTTCCTTACGTTTGTTTAACCATTTCGAGTTTCCTTGGAATGGCCGGTACATCATTTCAACTCGAGGACTGTCACATTGTGCTAGTTATTGTTATCTTGTCACGTGCTTCCGCACATCGTTAGCCGACCGGGATATAAATATCGGCACGAACGCCAGCGCTAAGAACGACCATCCTAAGTACGAACTGCCGTAATGTCGTTAAGCGACGATGGTGATTTAACTGCTGTAAATCAGTTAAATCGAGTAATAACCGCGGTGAAGTATATGGTCGCTCTTGCAAAACAGTTTTAATGTCATTTCGATGCGGAGAAAAGCTCCGATCGATGCGCCTATTCCGCTGCGAGATAATTAAATGCATACTAATGGAGAAGCAACGTGACGCGATGATTGTCAAACGCGGGCGAAATTGCGTAATATAGAAGCTGCAAATCTGCTTTGTCAAATGGTGGTCTGTGCGTGACTTCTGTGATGACGATGATATTTCATTATTCGATACGCACAAAGCGAGTGTGCGGGAGCGCGCGAGTCATTTCGTTAATTAAATCTGGCGCGGCTCGTTCGAAAAGGTATGATTGCGGTCAGCGGCGCGAGATGAGGGAGCCAATCTGAAATTGGGACTGACGCGAATAGAAAGAAATTAGAGCACCTTAATCCTTTTGCAAGAAACACGCGCGTTGTCGAGTGGTACCGTTGTTGCCGCGCCGATGCGAATTTATACGCGCGGTTTTCTCACTTGCGACACACGATGCAGTATCGGCCGGTACTTTCGACAAAGCAATAAGGTCACGCCGTGTAATGAGGGAGGAAGGTGCAACGAAGCGTGACGATGGAGATGCCGGAGCGGGCCGGGCAAGCCGTTGATTCTACGTGATATTCATTTTGCGCTCTTGCTCGATACGCCGGCGACACTTATCCCGCCGACGTTTTCACGAGATTAAATCTCGGGTGTGTTCGCGATGCGCGCCGTAACGGTTTCGTAGAAAACGGACCTGCGCTCCACTAACTCGGCTAACGATAATCCGCGCATCGCGCGTAAATTTGCCTATCGCGCGCACTGTTGTTGGTTTTAACTTATTGTTAGCTTAGTCGCCCACCAGTCCGATTTTTCGATCATTCGTCGTAGGCGTGCCAATAAAAAAATCCATCGTTATTAAACGAGCGTTGAATTATGACGGAATTAATGTAGCTCACATTTTTACTGTTTAAAAGTTATTCAATTATAATGTCCTTTTTAAATTTTCTTCTACTATCATTAATACGAAATTAATAGCGCAACTGCTAGTTCAAATCTTATATAAATATCTAAAAAAAAATTAAATTAACAAATTCTTTTCTTGAACAAGAAGAAATTATATCTCTTAATTATTTTAGTCACATTGTTGTACGACACTACAGTTGTGACGATTGCTCTCTAGAGAAAGAATTTTCTCTTAAAATTCTGTTCTGAAAATCATGCGGTCGTGAGACAACATGGCATTTTAAAGAAAAAATTTGGTGAGTTTTTTAAAATTCCATATTGTCCCACGATTACATAATTTTCAGGATAAATTTTAAGAGAAAATTCTCTCCGTGTACGCATATTTTTCGGACAAACTGAAATTCTCTCGTTCTTTCCTTGAGTTTAGACTTGCATTTGTTCCCGTTCGAATTGTTTGATAAAAGTGCCTGACAATACGGCATCAGCGAATACGAGTGCATCCATCACGACTTTCTCGCTCATTCATTATGGATAGTCCCGATAGAAATATCTTCGTGGCGAGTCAGAACTCATTGCCTATTCAGTTAACGAGACGAACGATAAGACCACCTGTCAATTATGATCAGCTTTCTCACGAACGCATCTATCCACGGTTTACCGATGCTGTAGCCGTGCACTCGTGATCTCCTTGTGAAAGGAACGATTTTCCTCGCCGCTAAGCGCGCTGGATATTCCTCCTGCGTCCAAGATAGCGTATTAAGCTCACGTAACAAGCATTACTCGATACGAAGATCACGGGGCTACGGTGGCATTTAGCAATTTAGATATTACGTCTGGTGGCCATTAAATCGCTACCGTACATCGAGCCAAGATTCGTTGTGCGGGCAAAAGTTGCGAGCGTTATTAAATTTCAATAATCTAACGGTATCATTAATTTATTCCTCGCGACAACTGAAAAAAACGACCGAAGGGGAGAAGAATAGATAGCACGAGACTTAAGCGATTGCGCACGTGTGGAAGATTCAAGTCCAATTACGTTCACAGATGGTGCGATTTTAATTCATCTGTACCTTCGCATTATTAGATTCACTTCTCCCGGCGTTAGAGGTACATTTTCTACCGGTCGGAATCGCACGGAGCGCAAGACTCGCGGATTTTTCTCGCCGGGGCAGAGAGGATGTCTGCAGGGTGATACTTGGAGGAGATTAAAACCCTCTCCATAAGCAAAGCGCAGTTGTGCTTTCACGTTACGTCTCTTTTATGCATAAAGTGCACGCGGGCACCACCGCAAATAGCCTTTGGACACTGGCGGGCACACGGTAACGGTGTGCCTGATTGCGGGCGATACGTTCTCGGAGATATTGCCCGGTACGAACATCCTGGAGCGTTGTCGATGGTCACGTTTCCGCGATCCGGACATCACGCTCCCTTTCTACTCTCTCGCTCGCTAGAATTTCTTCATGCCGCTCAAAAGTCACACTCTGTGCTTTCGCGGGCAGACCCGCGAAAGATACCCGTTCCCCGATACTAACATAAACTCACTCGGCTCGTCCGCTGCCTTCTCGTTACGTCGGATAAAATCTTTCCCTCGGACACGCCTATAATTTTTCTAAGTAACGCGCTCTCCCTCGAAATGCGCGCCAAGCCCTAATAAGGCTCGGCGGCATAAATTGTTCCGTTTACGAATCCCCAGTCTCGAGTCGCTGACGTTTAACGCTTCTTAACGATAGAGATTAAGGTTTTACGGCGCGCATCACGTCGGAAACGTGAATCGTTTTATTCCCCGACCTATCGTGGATTGTTAGGGACTCGCGAGACGAACGCATCCTTACTTCGTTAAAGTCTCGAGGGAGGATGTGTATATCGTGCCGCCGACGTCGATGTGAACCGGTGCGGTGTACCTCGAAGCGGCCGCTACGCAAGGAATACCGGTCATCTTCTGGTTGTAAGCCGGGGCCGCCGGCGTCGGTGGTGTTGGCGACGAGGAATTCGACATCGTGGGCGAGGTGGCCGGCGAACTGCTTGGCGACAGCAATCTGTAAAAACAACAACAAAATTTAAGGACAATCGCGGCTTCTGTGGAAAATTGTGCGTATCGTGCCGCAATTCACATGCCGATACCACAAACGAGCGCAAAAATTCCCGGGCAAAATTTCCGTTTTTTCAAGTTAACATTATTTAAAAGCTTTAGAATAGCGATATGGACCTTTTCAGATTTGTTAACTGCTAATTGCAGTAACAAATATAAAAAAGTTTGACACGTACATTTTAAATAAAAGGGGCGCGGAGCTAAATTAAATAATTGCCGCCGCTATATTTCACATTGTGCGATATTTCAATTCCGGTGCTGCATTCTATGTAATTTTACACGCAGCTCTAAGCACGGGACCAGGAAGCCAATCAGTCGAGGGCGAACTGCGAGCTATGATTTACGATGTATGAGATTAAATGACGTTTACGAAGAGAGAATTTCGCCGGGTTATGTAACTCTTTCTCGAATAGACCATTCTGGGGGGGGGGGGGGGCGACTTATATTGGAGCTCGGATGTGTGGACTTTACCTCATTTTAATTTGAGCGCTAGGGAACATATTGCGTTGCGCCGTCAGCTCCACCTTCGCCTCCTTCCCGTCGGCCTCACATTTCCGTCTGGAATTAAAAACACACGGATATCAGTTACGCGCATTGCCAATAAAAAATTGGAAATATAAATACGACAGCCGAGTTACACGCGAGACGGAAAAAATTGCAAAAATTTCTACGCGATTGCGTAAATTGGCGTATCCTCGCGCGTCTTTCTTCCGCGCCGAATTATATTTTGTGTATCGATTCGAGGGCTCGGCGCGGCATTTGCCGCGAATTAGGGGCGAAAATCCGATCGTATCGAATTTTCGCGGTGCGCCCGGCGCTTACGCCTTTTACAGCCGTAAACGCAGGTGTCGGTTTAACGTATCGATCCTCACGGCTGGTCGCGGACGGCGATAACGCTAGTTTAACGAGCCATTGTTTTCGGTCAAACATCGGCAATGCTGAATCGACTGAGAGCTCGGAACATTAACGCGAAATTCTCATATGCATTAATAAGGCAATTAGCGGCGAAACAATATTTGGCGGGGCGCCAGTCGCGGCCGGCCGTCCAAGGGTATTCTTTTACACGCGCTTTCAGTGGAAAGGGCGGGTCGGTTTGGTTCACGAGTTTAGAGGCACCTTCTCCCTCGAATTTTCATTACCACGCGCTCCCGTGAAAGGCCGGCACATTATTAGCTATTATCCAGAAGCCCGCTATGCATAGCGTAATGCGTGGATTTTTTTGCGTCGGCTACGACCGCGGGGATCTCGCTGCTGAAAGAAGCCAGCAAGAAATAATGAAAACGGATTCAACGTTTATGCAACTTCAACGTCAAGTACCCGTTTTCACGCGGGCGCATAAAAAAGATCACTACTTCTTGCACTCTTTAGGTATCTTGGTTAAATAATTCAATGTTAATTTACACGCACGTAACGAGTTGAGTTGTTTCTTCACACCCAGAAAGAAGATTTATTTCGGTTAAACAGATGCGTTGAAATCACGTTTCTTTGAATCTACACTAGATTTACAAGTGTTTTCTTGACCATAATTTTTAATAATACAGAAGATTTATTGCGACAAATATTACCTCAGCCAGGGTTTGAATCTGGACTACCTTCGCCAGTCGAATTTGTGAGACGCTCGCCTAGAGAGTAGGGAAGTCCAGGTTCAAACCCTGGCTGAGGTAATATTTTTCGCAATAAATTTTCTATATTAAAAATGCCGGATAAGGTGAAGAAAACACTGAGTTGTTAATTACTGCTGGCGACATTGAAGAATATTCTTATTAGTACACTCGATTTACTTGTACTAAAACATTTGAACAAGTAGATATGAATTCTCTTAGAAATTCTAGCCAGATAAAATTTTGGTTAAGGTAAAGAAGCCATTTTTTGATAAAACTCTAGTAAGGTCAAAACTGAAAGAAAATTTGTTCGATTTCAATCAAATTTTCTTCTGGGCACAAACTATGCAAGCCAAAAGCTTTGTAATTAGCAGATTAATGTCTATAAAATGTGCACTTGAAATCTTCTAGTTCGGCCAACGAGTAGAGAAAAGTTCCCTATTGTGAGATAGCGGAGTTTCTGTTAAATTGATAGGCATCATCTGCTGGTCCCACCATGAATTTATTGCCCTTCGAGTGAAATCTGTTTAGTGGAAAATTGATCGTTAGATCGTGCAATCGTTGCGAAAAAAGACTTGTCGTTGAATTTGGATGTTGAAAACCTACACCCTGAGAAAGGATTTCTGTTACCGAGACAAAACATATTCTTGACGCATTTATATTTCTCACAATCTCATTTAGTATAAAAATAAGACAATATCAAAATAAAATCAATAATTCTTATTCTCCTGTATCGAATTAAAAAAGATTGACTTACTATATTGAGACAAGAGTACCTCTACATATATATTCTTGCGTTTAGAATAAATTTTCCCTCCATCTTACAACGCACCAAGTTGGCACCACGGTATTCGACAAAAGGCGACACACACTATCATTTTATTCTAGATTTTACAATTTTTCATTCAAGATTAAAATATTCTCTTCTCTCTAATAAATATGACTGGCGCTATATCGATCCTATTTTATGATACATTCAAGTGTGACAGCATTGGATCCGGAAATATTTCTGTGAGTGTACTATCTCGCACTAGAAATCCTGTCTCATAATAGACGACTTTCCTCTACGTAAATTTTCAATTTCCAAACTTGGAACGAATAAAAATTTGCACGAAAACTTAGGTCGCTCTCCCGCCAAACTCCCCACTCTGCCACGATCGATCCCCTACAATCGAATCGCAATTCGATCGACGATTCTCGCGGTTTCGAGTCCGCGATACCTCGCCGCGCGCGGGAAGAAGGGACCGCGCTTGGCACTCGCTTTCCACCGTCCGGCGAAGGATTCGCGACGGTCAGAAGACACGGCGCGCGACGGGGGTACCGGTTTTCTCCTCCACCCACCACCCTCGCCCCCACATCGGTGCATCGCCGCGGGAGACGCCGCGCCGCGAGATGCGATGCAGCGCCTTTTCTTGGCCGCGCTGCGAGAGGTCGTCGGAGCGATGCGCGCGCCCGATGTGTGCCTCTCTTCTGGAGGTGGGGAACCGTCTCTCGCGGGTCGGACATCGGGCAAAGGAGTGCAGAGCGAGAGAAAGAGAGAGAGAGAGGGACGGCGGAGGCGGACGAGCAACAACGGCCATCACGGCCGCTCTTGGCGCCGCGGGCTGAATCTCGGGAGATTTATGTGGGGCTATGCATTTACGAGTGCAGAAAACGCATACTTGCATACGCGGAATTGATTCGCGTTATTGTTGCGCGTCTTTCGCGGCCGACGAGAGATCACGCGTGTCGCCGGGACGCTCGGCGGCATTGACGGCGCGTCGCCGCGAAATTAATGGGCTTTTGACGGCACTTCAATCATATTTCACCGCGCTTCAAAGCGCGCGCGTTCGAATGTCATGATGAAAAATCATTCGATAGCGCCGCCGGACCGGACGAGGCAACGGGGAAAATGTAATATTCACCTTTCCCCTCGTTTATTTTATTATATATTTGTTTTTCTGCCGGGAATCGGGCATTTGACGTCTTTCCGCGCCTATACCTTTGCCTATCCGGCTCCAGATAATTTTATTTATCTCGATACACGGTAAACGGAGAGAGAAAGAAAGGGGGTGGGGGGAAACGGGAGAAAAATGAATTGAATTTGACCAATGCGAGATGTAGTTTCGATTCGAGCCTCGCTGAAAACGGCGTTATCGGGTGTGCTCATAATACAGCGTTGAAATGACCGGCAGCGCCGGCGAAAGAAGAATCTGAAGCACGATATAGCTATAACAATGGGGCGATGATCATCATGGTCGTTCGTGCGCCTCGGGGCGATTGGCCGGTGTACGAATGTACATTACGCTCGACGTACTGAAGCCACTCGGCGCTTAACATTATGCATAATTACATGCGTAAAATCGGCAATTAATTCAATACAGAAATGAGAGTATTTGGCGAACAATTTACGTAAAATAATTTGGCGCGTCGCCATTAAGATTAACATTTCAAAGGACGGGGCGGCCGGGCCCTGAAACCGCGGCGGCCTCGCGCGCGAATAGACTCTCCTCTCCAAGATCCTCGCGCGTCGTCTCGCGAGTTCACCGAGAAGAGATCCCGGAATATATGGGAGCCGGGACGAGTGCCGTAACGATATCCGCAATAACGTCCACATCGCGACGTGGCGACGCCTCGGGCCAATTGTATCTCATACGCAGATAGTTTTATTGCATGCATACATCCGCATATGCGCCGGCGGGCACGCGCCGCGGATAAAGATAGGTGGAACAGAGGATACACAATTATAATGTACTATCTGTACAACTGTCCGCGTATTAATACGACGTCTTTGTTAATGTGATATTAAATGCACCGCACTCGAATAATCCGGGGCGGATATCCAAAATTTTACCGATCGTATCGCTGGTAATGGACGGGGTGGGTATTTATGCCGCCTGTAAATTTGCGGGGCTCGGTATTAGCCGACGGGTCATTTAGACCCCGGCGCATCCATCTGACCTTAATAATATCGTAGAGTAACAGACCGCGCGTAGAGAAATACGAGCTGTGCTGGCAGGCACGCGTCCGACGTCGCGGAGGGGAAGAGCGCGCGTTTCACCGGGCGTGAAGAGATGCAACGTCGTCGCCTCTCGAACGTCAAATTAGAAAGGACGGCGAGGGAGAGGTGGGAGAGACGGGTGAGGTGATGCCGGAGTCGCGACGTCGTCTTCAACGACACCGTGATATCCGCGTTGCTACCCGAGGCCATCGGGGCCTCTTACCCAGATACAGCTCTGATGAACGGGCGAGCGAGCGAGCGAGCGAGCGTCAACGATCACCGACGCACGCTGCGAAACGTATAAATTCGCGTTAAGGTGATCACAGCCCGAGGACACGACGAGGCGGCTAACGCGCGCTAAGGACGCGCGCGTGCACGATGTCGTGCCGCAGAAGAAGAGCGCTACTAACTTCACGTCGACGTTTAATGGCCCGAGGACGACGGCGTATGCAAATTTGAAAGCGATCTGTTACACCGCGCGACGATGTGTCGTCGGGAAAGCCCGCCGACAGACGTGGAAATGGACCAGTCTGCGCGCCATTTTGCGGAAAAATTAGCGTTGGCAAATCGAGCGACGTGATTGTAATAATTAAACGAGCGCGCCGAGAGCCTCGGACTGATAACTTGAAAAATGCAGGAGTTAATACACTCGCGAGTGATAGGAAAGCTCTCTCTCTCTTTCTCTATGCATTAAATAAATTGAGGTAAATTAAAAATAAACACGAGCTTGTGTACAAAGCGCGCACGCGCGTGCGCGCGCGAGAGGGAGGGAGGCGTCATTTTTTATCTATTTATTTGGAAAACAGTTTATTTGGCCAAAGGAAACTTTGTTAGAATATCACATTACGCGTGCTAATATTTGAGACAAAATATTGAACTTTCCTATGTATGTGCCGGATGATAAATTTCAATCGTTAAAACTGTTCTATACCCATCTTTTTGAAAATCTTGCCTGTTTATATTCGTGCGGGTACAAA